TCAATAATTTAATTATCAAAAACGTTTACCAGTCTGTAATGACGCTTATATGATGTTACACCCGACAAGCAGCCTGGTGGAAAAGTTATTAATAAAAAGAATTTTTACTTCAGGCTTGTGTAATATGTAACACTTTCCTCTCACATGGATGGTTGCCCTTTGGTAGCCTAGATTCAGAAACGCAAATAATTAAAAGCGCTCCCGCACTCCTTGCCCCCCCCCCCTCCTGCCCCTCAATAAAGGCAGTTTCTGTGCTTTCCACCTTAGACTTTGGTGATAATTGGGTGGCAGTGGTAAATTACGGAGAGCGAAGGAAAATACGTGATTCATATGGAACAATAATCTAGTCCACTGTCCAGGTTCTTTTGTTTTGACTCTAGTGCAGAACGTGGTGTGCTAGAGAAGAAAAACATATTGAATTGTTGAGACCACAGTACAAACTTAATTAGGTGTTAAGAAGATATGGAAGGAGGCACATCATGAATTAAGTGATGCTGCTGATGGTACCATCAAGAATCTTGCTGTGCCTCCTCGTGGCAACACACGGTAACTGGGTGCCTCGTGGGCCCAGGTTAGATCAGCAGGGGATCTCGGAGTAGTAGTGGGCCTTAGAGGGACGGCGCATAGGCTCAATGTCTTGTGGACACGTCCTGGCGCCTAGCAACCACCGCCCCGCTGCCTTGTGGATTAACCTTGGTAGGTATAAAGCTACAGGAGCAAACCCTGAACGAAAAATCTACAATGGAGCCCCGCATCAGGCAGACCTCCTTACAGACCTCCAACAAAACTCCAACGATAGTGTAGGCTGAAGAGTTGACCACCATGGAAACCCAACGATTCCACCGGCGGACGAAGGCAATGCCTGATGGACAGGCTACTAAGGCGAAACCCAACAAACTGGGCAATCGGTATTCCATTGCAACTCTCCCTCTCCCCAGTCGTTGCAAAAATTGCACTACTGGATCAGGAAAAGGGAGAGCCAAGATGTGTGGTTGCAGCCTGCGCTCTTGCCTCACCACATAGCTCAACTCACACGTAGCCATTATCCAGCTCATCATACCTCTCATCATCATAAAAAAATCCAATACCCCCAAAAGTCCTATGGCGAAGGACGAGTCGCGACGGGGACAGGTAGAGATGATTGCTGGGAGTCTCTAGTCACAACTGTGCACCTGGACAGCACAGATAAGGTGGTCGTTTATGCACTGGGATCTAGGCAACAGTGCAATCCGGTCCTGTCTGTGCGACTGAGCAGCCCTTCAGAGGAGCCACTCTGCTCGCCCCACATGGTGAAGCGGCTAGAAAAGGTGCCCTAAACATAGCCTGCCTAAAAACCCAACCTGACTGGGCAACCGCACCCAGTAAGGTCATCCTTATGCGGTCGAAAACAATCAAAATCACAGCTCAAAACTAAAACAAACCATACAGCCTCTTATGGTCGCTGCATGGAATGTCAGGACCCTTCTGGATACTGGCACAAATGCGCATCCTGAAAGAAGAACTGCCCTTGTGGCAAAAGAGCTGGCTAGGTATAACATCGACATAGCAGCCATCAGTGCGTCCCGCTCCTAGATGAGGGCCAACTCACAGAACCCATCCAGCTTAACGGTACTACTCTCTCTAATGTAGCCCACTTTCAGTATATCGGCTCCCACCTGTCCACCACCGCAGACATCGATGAAGAGATTCAGCATCGGATCAGATTTGCAACTCAAGCCTTGGGCGGTCTACGAAATCATGTCCTCAGCTGTATGAAGCTGAAATTATCCACAAAGCTGCACGTATATCGATAAGTGGTACTGCTCACCCTACTATATGGCAGTGAGACATGGGTCACATACAGGAGGCACCTCAAGGCACTTGAAAACTTTCACCAACGTAGTCTACGTTCCAGCCTCCGATTTCGCTGGGAAAACACGATAACAAATGCCTGTATTCTTGCTGACTTCAACTGTAGGAGCATCGAGGCTACCATTATCCATGAACAACTACGTGGCCACGTTACCCACATGGACTACAGTAAACTGCCAAAGCAGCTACTTTACAGTCACCTGACGAATAGTAGACGTAGTGCCGGTGGGCAATTGAAAAGGTATAAGATAGTCTTAAGACAAATCTGAAAAGGTGCCAAATCCACCCCCTCCCCTGGGAGAAGATTACTCCACATCGTAACGCTTGGAGGAGCACCATACGAGAAGGTGTCAATACTTTCGAGTTAGCCCGACTGCAAACCGAGGCAGACAAGCGCCAACGTCGGAAAGACGCTGCCACTGCCCCTCGCACAGTAGGTTCAGCCCTGCACATGTGCAACGAATTTGGACGACGCTGCGGGTCTCGTATCGGCCACTTTAGTCACCTCAAAACTCACCAACCTAGGTGGCATCCCTAATAACCCATATCATTGAATCATAGCTGGATGATCGTCATACTTGATTCCAAGTGACAGCAAAGTAGTAGTAGTAGTAGTAGTAGTGTGTGTGTGTGTGTGTGTGTGTGTGTGTGTGTGTGTTTTGAGTGTGTTTGTGTGTGTGTTTGTGTGTGTGTGTGTGTGTGTGTGTAAAAGAGAGTCACCTACAGAAGGGCAGACTTAACCCAAGCATGCTATTCAAATCTTTAGTAACTTACGTTGTTATCGCCGCTGGCTTCA